TTTTTGAAACTGGGTCAAGAAATAAACTTAAGTCAAAGTCATTGCTCCCAAGGCTGAACCAACCCACAGCTGACCCTTCAGCAGGTTTCAGAGGCTGCAAGTCACACAGAAGAAGATTGCCTGTCCTTGTTCCGCACAGCTGCTCTCCTCTGAGCACACTCCCAGTACCCTTCTGAGTTGGTTGGTAAGGCCATAAAGCTACATCTTACCCCTGAGCTGACCTGGGCTCACAAATGATCTCCTGTGTGTGTCATCATGGGCCACAGTAGAGCCGAGCTGTCAGGTTCTCAGTGGCTGTTAGCTTTCAGAAGCCCATCACCAGGCCTTTAGAAGGAAGAATGTGGCACCACTGCAAGGGTTTCTCCTGCCAGCAAGTGTCTTCTAACCAAGAGCAGAACTACCTGAGGACACCTAAAACCATGAGAGAAAGAAACAGCCAAGTGAGGACAAGAACCCAGAAATGAAGCTTTGCTTGTGTGCAGGTATGTGTATACCACAGGACATTTTCACTTCCTCTGTCCAATGACCTGAAGAGTGCAGACTGGCCTCCAGCTCCCCCTGCCCTTTAGGCCACCTTTCTTTGTACATAGTTCATTCCTCATACTCTCTTGCCCAAAAGCAAACTGCCTCCAAGGATGCCATTATTCACTGACTAAAAGTTCAGCTCTCTAGTGGGGTGGGGGGGCACATGGCCAAGTCTGTCGCAGAGATGGTGCACCTGCCACTTGGCCTGACCTGGAAGATTATGCACAGATACTCTCAGATGTCCATGGTACTTTCCAGTGCATTGGAGAGGGGGGACTTCCAGTTTTCACCATACAAAATGCTGTCATTGGGGCTCAGCTTATCACAGCACATTAATACACCCACTCAGCACCAGTCCAATCAAAACCCAACTCACAGGTGACCGCCAGTGGGTTTTCAGAGGCTATAAATCACATGGAAGGAGATTTCCTGTATTTCTTCTACATAGAAATTGGTGGATTCAAACTGTCCACCTTTGAGTTGGCAGCAGAGCTTCCTACCAGTGAGCCACCAGGGAGAATGAGGAATTACATTCTCTGTTTAAACTAAATTAACAGATGAGAGCAAGCTTTGGTGGAGGGAGAATGTATAGTTTTTTTTGTGAGAGGGGAAAAAATGGTATAGTAGTCTTTGAGAATAGACATGGGAAGACCTTCCGCCCATCCCCCAGTATTTTGTATATCTGGAAAAAGTTGCATAGAGTTGGGAAATATTTCTTAGCAGAGTTTAGGTTTTTGTTTTATTTATAAGTGAATTTGAGGTCAGTCTCAGTGTGGTTGGGACTAAAATGAAACCATTCTCCAGTATTTGCCCCTAGTTGACCCTTATGCAGTTTCCCTTCGCCTCTGGGCATCAAACCTTGACAACATGTTAGGCAGATGTCCCATATAGTCTGCCCTGTGGTGTAAGATTTGATCCTCCTCTCTGGGTTCAGGCCCATAAGCAGCAGTAAAAGAGCTTCGTCCCCTCCAAGCCTGGAAGTATCTCCTGGAGAGGCATAGGTGGACCCAGCCCTGTAGTCTTTGTTGCTGGTAAGGTCAGCCTTGGGGCCCCTGCTGACTGATTGAAGGGATGAGAAAATGTGGCATCCTGTGTTCTAAGGAGCAAATCCTCCCTCAGCTCAGAGTTGGGACTCTACCACCTTAGCCTCTGGAACGGTGTATGCAGAGAACAACCCTGGACAAGCAAACGCCTTCTAGCCCTGATGGCAGGGCCATGGGTCGAAGATCTCAGTCAGGTCTCCTATTCCCCACCCATCCTCCTGTGAGCACCAAATTCCCTCCACCAGTGCTCCTGAGCGCTGAGGGCTGAACGGGCCTGGAAGAGACCCTAGATAAGCCACAGGAGCCCCAGGTGCTGACACCTCTGCAACATTGCCTTCAGTTCATGGTGGCCCTTCTGAGTGTCAGTCCTTTCTGTCTGATACTAGCTGTTTGCACCCAACAGGGGATTAGTAAATGCACACAGACAAGTCTGTAGAATGGGCCTTCCTGTAGCCTGAACCTATGGAACCTAGTTCCTACCACATAGAGTTATGCTTTCCTGGCATCATGACTGTGGAGGAGCCTCCTATGGTATGTACTGGCTCCTGTCAAGGGTTGAAATGATTCCTCACTGATCTCTGGGGGAAGGACATTAAATTGGCGTACCTTTGGAAATGCTGTTGGAAAGATAGGAATGAATGCCTTGTGCTATGAACTCTTAAGGAAGGTTTCTGCTGTGTGGTCACAAGGGGCCATGTGCATTATGTTTCCTGAGTGGGTAGTAGGGGGAAACATTTTCTCTGAGAGCAAGTACAGAGAGAAATAAAGCCATGTGCAGGAATGAGAAGTATCTGGTGGGTGTTCAGCCTCCTCCTCATTTCTGTGTGGAATACTGATACACTGTTTGAAAGGCTTCTATTGAAGTGCTGCTGTTGAGGGTAAGGACACCATGTTTGCTTCCCGGGGTTGAGACTTGTTCTCTCTATCCTTAATCATATCAATAAACTTTAATAGTAGGAGATGTAGAAATCCTTGAGCTATGTGCAATGGAAAATCCACCTTGACTGGGTCTTCTCAAAGAGTAATGGGGCTTGTGGGCCTGATTTTCCCAGAAATGGCCCATAGCACTGTGTTATTTCCATATGCAGAAATAAGATGGAGGAAAGCACAAGGAAGGCTACATCACCTGTTTGAAAATAAAATTGAATAAAATTTCTAAAGTTTTCAGTCACAAAGAATAATCATCATGAATAATTGTTTGGTCCGATCACAGAAACTGTTGGTCATTTTTCACAAGGACCATATTCATCATGAGTCCTGCTGGTACAAGTGTCCTCCCTTCCTTGAGCTGACAGACAGAGACATCAGTCCACTTGACTTTTCCGGGTTGAAGTAAATCGTGGAACATCAAGACCTGCTCCGGATGTCCATCCAGGCACCCACTCTTCATCCCTGTGAGAAACCCCCACAAACCCCTATGAGGAGCCCCACAGACACACCCTCGTGAGAAACCGCACAGATATACCCAGTTAGAAACCAGGTAGACACTCCGGTGAAGAACCACACAAATAAACACACCAGTGATGAATCCCACATAGACACACTCCTTTGAGGAACACACACACACACATACACCATGAAGAACATCCACATGCACTTACCCCTGTGAGGAACCACACTCACACCTGTGAAGACTCACACACGATACCCCCACACACATACACACACTTCTACGATGTCTTCAAGCACACACTTACCCTCTGAGAGCCTCACACAGCTCTGTGAGATCAGGTAAAGGGAAGCAGGTCAAAGCATCAGAAGGCTATTTCAATTCTTGACAGTGTCCACATCTAGTACTTGGCTCTGGACTTTGTCCTGAGGTGACTTCTTCAAGCCATTCTCTTATGTCCTTTTAGCTCAGACTATTTAGGGGCTATTAATTTTCTTTCCTACTTGGCCTGGTGTTCTTTGCTATTGCTTGCATAAAAATAACTTTCTTGATGAAAATGGAAAGATCTCCCAGTAGTGACTATCTTCTTCCTCTTGTGATGCTCTGAGACCATGAGTTCATTTCCATGAGCCTCTGAGACTCTTTCTGGGGTGTAAAAGATGCAAATTCCTGCTTTTAAACCCTCCTGGGGCCAGAGAAAGGTGTCCAAAATGGCATCTTCCTTTTATTCTATTTCTTTAGAATCAATAGCATTGAAAAACATTGATTATTACCCCCAATCCCCCAAAAAAATTGTCAGGTCGTTTCTCCTGTGTGTCAAAGCAGAAGGTGTGCTGTGGCAGGTTTGTCATAAGTGGGTCTCTGAGACATTCTAAGACATCTCTGGCTGGCCTTGAACCTCCAGACTTCAATTACTAGGCAAGCATAGTATTAGTTGGTTCATCCAGTTACTGTAAAAAGCAGAATGATGGTGATTTTAAGAAAGACCCTCATAGGGAGTATTCACAACCAGGATAGGCACTTGATTTAACTTTGCACCTGGGTTTTATATTTATCTTACAAAATCATGTTTAAAAACGGTGAGACAAAAAGTTGCAAATAAAGATACCATTTGACCCAGCAATTCCACTACTGGGAATATACCCTAAAGAGACCATAAATGACATCCAAGTAGATATATGCATACCCATGTTTATCGCGGCTTTGTTTACAATAGCAAGGAGTTGGAAACAACCTAAATGCCCATCAACAAA